TTCTCCCCCTCCTTCCATCTCTATTCCTCACCGCTCTCCCTCGCTCTCTTTTCCCCTCTCTCCCTCTTTCCCCTCATTCGCTCTCTTTCCTTCTCCCTCTCTTCTCCCCTCTCTTTATCCTCTCATCCCCTTCGCTCCCTCCCTCCCTCCTGTTCTCTCTTCCACCTCCTCCCTCTGTCCTCCACTCCCTCTCTTCATCTCTCGCTCCCTCTCTCTCTCTTCCTCGCCTCTCTCTTTGTCTCCTCCTCTCTCTCTCTCTCTCTCTTCTCCCCTCTCTCCTCCTTTTCCCTCTCTTCTCAATCCCTTTATCCTTCCCTCTCTCTCTTCCTCACCTCTCTCCCCCCTTTTTCTCTCTCTCCTCATCTCTCTCTCCTCCCTCCCTCTGTCTGTTCTCCACACCCTCCCTCCGTCTCTCGCTCCCTCTCTCTCTTCTCCTCCCTCTCTCTCTGATCCTCCCTTTCTCTCTTCCTTCTCCCTCTGTCCTCCATTCTCTCCCTCTCCCTCTTTCTCATCCTCATTTTCCCTCTCTTCCCCCTCGTCCACTCCCTCTCTCTCTCTCTCCTCCTTCTTCCTCTCTTCTCCCCCCTCTCCCTCTTTCCCCTCATTCCCTTTCTATCCTTCTCCCTCTCTTCCTCTCTCTCTCTCTCCTCCTTCCCTTTCTCTCCATCCCCTCCCTCCTGTTCTCTCTTCCACCTCCTCCCTCTGTCCTCCACTCCCTCCCTGCATCTCTCGCTCCCTCTCTCTCTCTTCCTCGCCTCTCTCCCCCCTTTTTCTCTCTCTCCTCCCTCCCTCTGTCTGTCCTCCACACCCTCCCTCCATTTCTCTCTTCCTCATCTCTCTCTCCTCTCTCTCTTCTCCCCTCTCTCTCTGATCCTCCCTTTCCCTTTCTTTCCCCTTTTCGCTTCCCTCCCTTTCTCTCTTCCTTCTCCCTCTGTCCTCCATTCTCTCCCTCTCTCTCTTTCTCATCCTCATTTTCCCTCTCTTCTCCTCCTCCCTCTCTCCCTCTCTCTCTCTCTCTCTCTCTCTTTCTCTCCGTGCCTCCACGTCTTTTACATTCGTCCTTTAAACTTTTTTTTTATTTGAAGTTTTCGCCCTTTCGTTGCTCTGACTCTCTCCGTTTCTCTTCCGCCCACCGGATCTGTCACTCGGAGCCCAAAACGAGACGATGGCCTCTCCTCCCACTCGTCTTCCCCTCTCCCTCTCTCCTCTCTCTCTCTCTCCCCCTCCTCTCCTCTCTCTCTCTCTCTCCCTCTCTCCTTCTCTCCTCCCACTCGTTTTCCGTGCCGTTTGAGTCTCTAACCTCCTCGCGTCTTATCAAAAGAACCGCGTTTAATGTTTTTAATGGTGAGAATTAGAACCCAGAGGAGCGAGGGAGGAGGAAGACGAGGAGAGAGAGGAAGAAGAGAAGGAAGAGGAGGAGGGAGTTTGTGAATTAGAGAAATGTGTAATATTTGAGAAAACATCCCGTAATGACCCACAGACAGGAGACAAACATTTTTATCATTCTGAAAAGTTTGCGAGGATCATTTCAACAAACTGTAGCTCCAGAAATAAAACAAAAAAACAACAAAAACAAACTATGATCTGATCTGAGTGGTAAAGGAACACTGTGGAACTTTTCTGACCCCTGCTTGTTTCCATGGAGATGACGTTGCTTTAAAAACGGTTTCTAATCGACCTAAAATCGTGCGTTGGTGCTGTGAGTGGGCTTGCCTCTGCGCAGATCTGACATGTAAACTACAGGCTTCACACGGTCATGGAAATCCTGGAAAAGTCATGGAAATTGAAGCGTTCTGTTAAGTTCTCGTGAGGCTGTTGTGATTATTGCTGAACGTCTGCGTCTTTTGTTTCAAAGAGACGACAATAAATAAAAGCACTGACGGGATTTAAAATGTTAAAAAAAACTATAATCCCAAAAACATAAAGTGAGTGGAAAGATTTTACATTTCAGATTTAGACCTAAAAGTCTGATCAGTTGTACACATGCAGGTGCCGTAAAGTCATGAAAACGTTTTTTAAAGTTGCACATCATTGTTGTGTGATCGTTTTTTTTTTTTTTAATATTCTGTTTTCTTCGTGGTTCATGTAAACGCAACATCCCTGGTTTCAGTCCCGGTTATTAGAGACCAGGACACTGCAGCTGGTTTATTCCTGGACACTGTGTCATGTAAACGCAGTATCCAGAATACTGCGATCTAAAGAGTGAGTGCACATGCGTCCAAAAGACAAACACTTTTCAGTCTTTTCATCACAACAGTAGTGACCAGGGACGGGCATGATTAGTCGACTAATCGATAATTGATCATTAAGAATTTCGTCGATTACGTTAATGTAGGTTTCTGTGTGTAGATATGAAGCTGCGTGTGACAGACCAAACTCTGGAGTTGAGGCCTCAGTCCTACGTTTTGGGCTCTGGGCTCAGACACTGTGCCCCTCAGTGAGTGTGTTTACATGTACATGAGTCCCACTGTCGTCATGGTGCATGTAAACACTGCAGCAACATGAAGAGCTGCACTAAACCTGCACACGCCTCAGGGAGAACACCCCTCTGACACAGAAGAACACCCCTCTGACACAGAGAGAACACCCCCACTGTCACAGAGAGAACACCCTCTGACACAGAGAGAACACCCCTCTGACACAGAGAGAACACCCCTCTCTGACACAGAGAGAAACACCCCTCTGACACAGAGAGAACACCCCTCTGTCACAGAGAGAACACCCCTCTGACACAGAGAGAACACCCCTCTGACACAGAGAGAACACCCCTCTGTCACAGAGAGAACACCCCTCTGTCACAGAGAGAAACACCCCCTCGACACAGAGAGAACACCCCTCTGACACAGAGAGAACACCCCTCTGTCACAGAGAGAACACCCCTCTGTCACAGAGAGAACACCCCTCTGACACACACAGAGAGAACACCCCTCTGTCACAGAGAGAACACCCCTCTGTCACAGAGAGAAACACCCCTCTGTCACAGAGAGAGAAACCCCTCTGTCACAGAGAGAACACCCTCTGACACAGAGAGAACACCCCTCTCTGACACAGAGAGAAACACCCCTCTGTCACAGAGAGAGAACACCCCTCTGACACAGAGAGAACACCCCTCTGACACAGATCTGACAGAGAGAACACCCCTCTGACACAGAGAGAGAGAGAGAACACCCCTCTGACACAGAGAGAACACCCTCTGACACAGAGAGAACAGAGAGAACACCCCTCTGTCACAGAGAGAACACCCCTCTGTCACAGAGAGAACACCCCTCTGTCACACAGAGAGAACACCCCTCTGACACAGAGAGAACACCCCTCTGTCACAGAGAGAACACCCCTCTGACACAGAGAGAACACCCCTCTGTCACACAGAGAGAACACCCCTCTGTCACAGAGAGAACACCCCTCTGACACAGAGAGAACACCCCTCTGTCACACAGAGAGAACACCCCTCTGTCACAGAGAGAACACCCCTCTGACACAGTAAGAACACTCATATTCCACTGAGTTGTGTCCTTTAGTCCGACAGAAACTGAACCACATCAGTGACACAAGGAAAGAACTGTTTTTTGCAGCTCTCAGTTTTTGCAAATGAGTCATGTGGTTTTAAGTTTTGTTTCTAATAAACATAAACAAATGTGCTCAAAGCTCAAAACGACGTGTCTGGACACAGATCGTTTTGGACGCAGATCGTGTCTGGACGCAGATCGTGTCTGGACGCAGATCGTGTCTGGACGCAGATCGTGTCTGGACGCAGATCGTGTCTGGACGCAGATCGTTTCTGATGCGGTGAATCGTTTCAGTGTAAACGTAGTTTCAGTTAGAGCTTCACTTACAGAACAGGTTTATGAAAGGAATGATTCATTTCACTAAATAGATTTGATCATTTGTTTGATTTTAAATCAGAGGTCAGGAGTTACCAGCAGATCTCCACCTCCTTCCAAGAAGCTCGCCAAGAGATTTCTGAATTATACATATTGTGCTGAATAATACATTTGATTAATTCAAATAAGTGAATTAAATTGACCATTGTACATGTATCATTTTGATGCTTGACTTTACACACTAATAAATGGAAAATGGTTTATGTTTTATAGTCGTCTTTACTTCGTCTAAGACTCACTGTGGCTCTTATATTTGTTCAGTTTCTTGTGAGCTTTAACACTCGCAGCTTGTTGGTGTTTTCACTTTGTAAAAGAAGCTCACTGGAGGAAAAAGGTCGGAGTCGCTGTTTTAAATGTTTTTCGCTTCTGTTCTGAATCACAAAGCCGAGGTCAGACTCTGGTCCAGGCTCCTTCAGGACGTCCAGAGTTCACATATTTGAGTTTAGAGTTTAATCCACAGTTTGTCCCCTCGAGCTGCTCCTGTTCAGCTCTCGACCTTTTGAAGACTCCGGTTTGATCTGGAGGTGCTCGGAAAAGTGAAAAAGTTTGAACCACTGGTACAAAGTTTCCTGTTTCTTTTTTTTCTTTTTTTGTAGGGATGCAACATTTCCAGCTGTTTCATTTCCAATGTTGATATTCATAGTATCTGCCAATATCCAATATTAAGTGTAGAGATTGAAAATGTAAAGAGTCTCATTAGATTTAATGAAAGACCAACCAGAATATCGACTGAACCGATATTTTGGAACCGTTTACCGATCCAGCACATTTCACTGGATTGGTGTCAACATTAGATTCCAGTATCGGTGCATCGCTGGTTTTTTGTTTGTTTGTTTGTTTGTTTTGTTTTTGTAACATTGAGTCCTGGTATAAAATATAAAATGTAAGTAGTTGGTGACATCACACAGCACTGCCCTGAATACAGACAGGTGTTTCTGATACAAACACCGAGCTGCAGGGGCGGAGCCAGACCAGAGCGTCAGAAACAAAACTGAACCTTTAGCATTTTCAAATGTATAAAACGCGATCTAAATGTGATGTGTTAGCAGTTCATACCCCACAGAAGTAAAATGCTCCCTCTGTCTAAAGAGTTGTTGCTGTTCCCTGGGCGACCTGCAGGTGGTGTCCATGGGTCTGTACCTGGGGGAGAAGGCGTACCTCCGCAGCAGCTGGAACATCCTGGACGGGTTCCTGGTGTTTGTGTCGCTCATCGACATCGTGGTGTCCATGGCCGGAGGAGCCAAGATCCTGGGAGTCCTGCGTGTGCTCCGACTGCTCCGGACGCTCCGCCCACTCAGGTGAGACACAGCCACGCCCACTCAGGTGAGACACAGCCACGCCCACTCAGGTGAGACTATAGCCCCGCCCACTCAGGTGAGACACAGCCACGCCCACTCAGGTGAGACTATAGCCCCGCCCACTCAGGTGAGACACAGCCACGCCCACTCAGGTGAGACTATAGCCACGCCCACTCAGGTGAGACTATAGCCACGCCCACTCAGGTGAGACACAGCCATGCCCACTGAGACAACACAGCCACTCTCACTCAGGTGATACTATAGCCCCGCCCACTCAGGTGAAACTATAGCCCCGCCCACTCAGGTGAGACACAGCCCCGCCCACATTGACAACAGCCCCGCCCACTCAGGTGAAACTAGGAGGAGAAAAAAAGAAGTAAACCCCACACAGTGCTCCTATTGTGAAACACTGTGTGGGGACCGTGACACAAAAACAACACCACACTCTACCACAGGCATGTCCAAACTATGGCCTGTGGGCCAAATGCGGCACTCAGACAAATTTTCTTGGCCCTCAGACTTGCAGGTGAATTGGTCCAAATTACATAGCATTAATTAGACATGAACGTTTAACTGCAAGTTCTTTGAAAATCTACTTTGATAAGGCTAATATTTAATATTTAGTGTTTGGTTTTAAGGATCTTTGCATGAATAAAGACTGATGGCTCATTCTAACATGTTAAACATGCACATATTTCAGTTATTCGCTGTATAGGTGAGTTTCATTGTTGACAAAAGTGCGCGTTGCATTCTGGGAATTATTTTGGTCGGCGGCAAAAAACACTAATTCAACATGATGGACGGAGCGAGAAAGCACGTAAAGGGTATTGATCCCGGTTATTTATCCACTCTAACGGCAGAGGACCCAAGACCATTTGACCAGAAATTGGTCATAAGCATCGACGGACGACAAATCACCCTTTTCAACCCCGACAAAAGGTGGAACAAACCAAATTTCTGGTCAGAATCTCCAACTACCTGGACAAATATTCACTTGGGCGACATCCACAATGACTTGGTGGAAACTCCTGGGCCATTCACAGCAGAAAAGATGAAAACCTCCAAGAGTCTCGATGTGTTGTTGAACTTGTTGAGTCCACGGTTTGTTAGGATCTTCTACGTTTGCTCTGCGAATGTTTGAAAGTCGTTTAATTCACCGTTAGCGGTTCTTTTCACTCAGAATACGAAAAAGACATTTTCCTTCTTTCGTGCTTCTATTTGTGCATCCGATAATGCAGCAGGAATTTACCATTATCGAGGAGAAAATACGCGAGGTTACGCACTGTGTTTGACGCTACCGTGTTTCTTGCCTCCGACCAAAATATTTCCCAGCAGCAACGCGGACTTTTAATAACAATGACGTCAGCTGAAACTCGTCTATAGGTGATTTGATTAACAGATTAATTATATAATGTTGTTTACTTTTGGTATGATGCACACTGCAAAAACCAAACAGCACATCTTTATAAGAAAGAGTCAAATGGGATTAGAAGTTGCGTGTATGTTTTACGAATTCTTTCTGAAAACACACAGAGTCTGTGCTGGTCCAAATAAGTGAGAGGTGGTTTAAATTTTCAGTTTGTGTCCGTTGTTCTTCTAAGATGATTCTTCAGCGGAAAACAGCGATGTCGAAGTTTGTAGCAGATTTCCATTTCCTTGTTAGTGATGAGATATTTGTGAGGTCATGTCCAAACATTTTTCCATGGAATATTGTCAGTAGAGTCGGGGTCTCAAGTTATTTTTGAAAAGTTTATCAAGTTTTGGTGCGCAGCGTCTTCACTCGAGCCGTCGTCTTCAGGCGCTGGTCGAAAAAAGGCCGATGAGGAAAGGCCAATAACATCAGATTTGGCTTGTTCGGGTTTAGGCTGAGCAGCTGCAATCCAATTTCCACAAACTACTCGCATTGTCCATATTGGTCTGAAGCTCCGCTCTGCTCCTCTTTGCAGCTTTTCAAGTCGAGTTAATTTAGATTTGGAGAGCAGAGCGGAGAGTCTCTCAAAAGTATACGACACTAGAATAGACGAGACAAAGAAGCAAAGCAGGAAAGAAAAAAGGAGCAGGAGAGGAAAGAAAAGACGCCCGCCCTCACCGAGAGCCAACACAAAAAGGCTCTTCATAGGAGGATTTTGTCATGTATTTTGATTCTTTTAAGGGAATAAGAGTGAAGATGCAGGTCAAGGTAGAAGTAGTAATAGTATTTGTTATATATTTGTTTATTTCCAGGGTTATCAGTCGAGCTCCGGGTCTGAAGTTGGTCGTAGAGACTCTGATCACGTCTCTCAAACCCATCGGAAACATCGTCCTGATCTGCTGCGCCTTCTTCATCATCTTCGGCATCCTCGGAGTCCAGGTACAGCCCCCGGACGAGCGCCATGGTCCCCGTCTCTCCCCTGTGTGTCTCCATCAGGGTCGACAAAAGTATCCAAAATATAAATGTGTCTTTATATCTGTGTAATCCCTCCACGAGCGTGTACTAGTCTCTGCGCTCTTACATTTGATCAAGTTCATTCTAAAAACACTCAGGAATCGTTCATTTCTGTTCTGTCAATGGGACTTTTTCCAATCCACTTTATTTATATTTTTATTTACATGACAGTGAAATGCTGCACAGACAAATTAATCCAGTAAAAGACAGTAAATCACGAATAAAAACAGTAAATAAAAAGTGTTAAAATGCGTTTTAAAAAAGCTAAACATGATTTAAAAATGAATAAAAAAAATGAATAAATAAAAAATAAATGTAATTAAATAAATTAAATGTAATAAAATAAAATATAAACAAAAGACACAGAGGACCACACAACTGACCTTAAATATTAAATAAATAAAATAATATAAAATTTAATTAAACACAATTTAATTAAAATAAAATGTAATAAAATAAAATAAAAACAGAAGACACAGAGAACCACACAAGTCACATTAAACATTAAATAAATAAAATAAAATAGAATTAAATGAAAATAAAATGTAATAAAATAGAATTAAATTAAAGTAAAATGTAATAAAATAAACACATAGGACCACAAAGTCACCTTAAAAATTAAATAAATTAAATAAATAAATAAAATTTAAATAAAATAAAATAACATAAAATAAAATAAAATGTAATAAAATAAAAACAAAAGAAACAGAGAACCACACAACTGACACTCAACATTAAATAAATAAAATAAAAATCAAATGTAATAAAATAAAATAAAAACAAAAGAAACAGAGAACCACGCAACTGACACTCAACATTAAATAAATAAAATAAAAATAAAATGTAATAAAATAAAATAAAAACAAAAGAAACAGAGAACCACACAACTGACACTCAACATTAAATAAATAAAATAAAAATAAAATGTAATAAAATAAAATAAATCAAAAGACACACAGGACCACACAACTCACATTAAATATTAAATAAATAAAATAAAATAAATTTAATTCAATTAAATACAATTATAATACAATTTTATAAAATAAAAACAAAAGACACAGTACTACACAACTCATGCAGTGTTAAAAGCCAGAGAGTAAAAATGATCTTTTTAGTATCGATATCTGCTCAAATGAGTCTCTAGTTTGGATACTAGTTTTAGAATCGATTAATGTCTGAATTTTGACACTTTTGACAACCCCAGTCCTTAGTTTTTATTTCATTCCTGTGTAAAAAAAAAAAAAAGGAGGAGATAGAGAAAAAGTTGAAGGCTTTTACATTTATTACAGTTCCTTCGTATTCATTTGTAAACCTTCATGTTTTCCTCAATCTCCAGGTTTTCTTTCTCCGGTCTGGTCCGTGCTGTCGTGTAATTATCCCTCCCGTCTCCAGCCCTGTTTTCCAGCTCGTCTTCTGATGGAGAATTAGCGTCTGCGTGTGAAGCGGAGACGTGTTTTAGACTAATTATCACGTGCTGTCATTCATCTCCGTGTTTCTGTCTCCTCCCAAGCTTTTCAAAGGAAAGTTCTACTACTGCGTGGGTCTCGACGTCAAAAACATCACAAATAAATCCGACTGTCTGGCGGCGAGTTACCGATGGGTGCATCACAAGTACAATTTTGACAATCTGGGACAGGTGAGTGCGTCTGATGAAGGAGGAGCTGTGGGGGAACGTAATTAAAGAGACGCAGATGACAGAGACTAAACCAGGACTAAAACAGGACTAAAACCAGGACTAAAACAGGACTAAACAGGACTAAAACAGGTCTAAAACAGGACTAAACCAGGACTAAAACAGGTCTAAAACCAGGACTAAACCAGGACTAAACCAGGACTAAACCAGGACTAAAACCAGGACTAAACCAGGACTAAACCAGGACTAAACCAGGACTCTAAAACCAGGACTAAAACAGAACTAAAACCAGGACTAAACTTAATCAGGACTAAACCAGGACTAAACCAGGACTAAACCAGGACTAAAACCAGGACTAAACAAGGACTAAACCAGGACTAAAACAGGACTAAACCAGGTCTAAAACAGGACTAAACCAGGTCTAAACAAGGACTAAACCAGGACTAAACCAGGACTAAACCAGGTCTAAAACAGGACTAAAACCAGGTCTAAACAAGGACTAAACCAGGACTAAACCAGGACTAAACCAGGACTAAACCCAGGACTAAAACCAGGACTAAACAAGGACTAAACCAGGACTAAACCAGGAGGACTAAACCAGGACTAAAACAGGACTAAAACCAGGACTAAAACAGGACTAAACCAGGACTAAAACAGGTCTAAAACAGGACTAAAACAGGACTAAAACAGGTCTAAAACAGGTCTAAAACAGGTCTAAACCAGGACTAAACCAGGTCTAAAACAGGACTAAACCAGGACTAAAACAGGACTAAAAGGACTAAGGACTAAACCAGGACTAAAACCAGGTCTAAAACAGGACTAAAAACAGGACTAAACCAGGACTAAAACAGGACTAAACCAGGACTAAACTAAAACAGGACTAAACCAGGTCTAAAACAGGTCTAAAAACAGGACTAAATAAAACAGGACTAAACCAGGTCTAAAACAGGACTAAACCAGGACTAAACCAGGACTAAACAGGACTAAAACAGGACTAAACCAGGTCTAAACAAGGACTAAACCAGGACTAAACCAGGACTAAAACAGGACTAAACCAGGTCTAAACCAGGACTAAAACAGGACTAAAACAGGACTAAACCAGGAAAACCAGGACTAAAACAGGACTAAACAAGGACTAAACCAGGTTAAAACAGGACTAAACCAGGTCTAAACAAGGACTAAACCAGGACTAAACCAGGTTTAAAACAGGACTATAAACCAGGACTAAACAGGTTTAAAACAGGTCTAAACCAGGAACTAAACCAGGTCTAAAACAGGACTAAACCAGGACTAAAACAGGACTAAACAAGGACTAAACCAGGTTTTAAAACAGGACTAAACCAGGTCTAAAACAAGGACTAAACCAGGACTAAACCAGGTTTAAAACAGGACTATAAACCAGGACTAAACCAGGTTTAAAAACAGGTCTAAACCAGAACTAAACCAGGACTAAAACAGAAAAACTAAACCAGGACTAAACAAGGTCTAAACCAGGACTAAAACAGGACTAAACAAGGACTAAACCAGGACTAAACAAGGACTAAACCAGGACTAAAACAGGACTAAACCAGGACTAAAACAGGACTAAACAAGGACTAAAACAGGTCTAAACCAGGACTAAACCAGGACTAAACCAGGACTAAAACAGGACTAAACCAGGACTAAAACAGGACTAAACAAGGACTAAACCAGGTTTAAAAACAGGACTAAACCAGGTCTAAACAAGGACTAAACCAGGACTAAACCAGGTTTAAAACAGGACTAAACCAGGTCTAAACAAGGACTAAACCAGGACTAAACCAGGACTAAACTAAACCAGGTTTAAAACAGGACTAAACCAGGACTAAACCAGGTCTAAAACAGGTCTAAACCAGGACTAAACCAGGTCTAAAACAGGACTAAACCAGGACTAAAACAGGACTAAAACAGAACTAAACCAGGACTAAACCAGGTCTAAAACAGGACTAAACCAGGTCTAAAACAGGACTAAACCAGGACTAAAACAGGACTAAACCAGGTCTAAACCAGGACTAAACCAGGTCTAAAACAGGTCTAAACCAGGACTAAACCAGGTCTAAAACAGGTCTAAACCAGGACTGAACCAGGACTAGTCTCAGTTCCGGTGTGGTCCCGATCTACGTCCTGATCACCCGACAGTCTATGCACCTCTGGGCCCGTCCCGACACTCAGTCCTGTTTATTCCTGGTTTAGTCCTGATTCAGTCCTGGTTTAGTCCTAGTTTAGTCCTGGTTTAGTCTTGGTTTAGTCCTGGTTTAGTCCTGGTTTAGTCTTAGTTTAGTCCTGGTTTAGTCCTGTTTAGTCCTGGTTTAGTCCTTGTTTAGTCCTGGTTTAGTCCTGGTTTAGTCCTGGTTCAGTCCTGGTTTAGTCCTGGTTTAGTCCTGGTTCAGTCCTGGTTAGTCCTGGTTTAGTCCTGGTTTAGTCCTGGTTTAGTCCTGGTTTAGTCCTGGTTCAGTCCTGGTTTAGTCCTGGTTCAGTCCTGGTTTCCTGGTTTAGTCCTGGTTTAGTCCTGGTTTAGTCCTGGTTCAGTCCTGGTTTAGTCCTGGTTCAGTCCTGGTTCAGTCCTGGTTTAGTCCTGGTTTAGTCCTGGTTCAGTCCTGGTTTAGTCCTGGTCCAGTCCTGGTTTAGTCCTGGTTTAGTCCTGGTTTAGTCCTGGTTAGTCCTGGTTTAGTCCTGGTTTAGTCCTGGTTTAGTCCTGGTTTTTAGTCCTGGTTCAGTCCTGGTTTAGTCCTGGTTTAGTCCTGGTTTAGTCCTGGTTTAGTCCTGGTTCAGTCCTGGTTTAGTCCTGGTTTAGTCCTGGTTCAGTCCTGGTTTAGTCCTGGTTTAGTCCTGGTTCCAGTCCTGGTTTAGTCCTGGTTCAGTCCTGGTTTAGTCCTGGTTTAGTCCTGGTTTAGTCCTGGTTTAGTCCTGGTTTAGTCCTGGTTTAGTCCTGGTTCAGTCCTGGTTTAGTCCTGGTTTCAGTCCTGGTTTAGTCCTGGTTTAGTCCTGGTTTAGTCCTGGTTTAGTCCTGGTTTAGTCCTGGTTCAGTCCTGGTTTAGTCCTGGTTTAGTCCTGGTTCAGTCCTGGTTTAGTCCTGGTTTAGTCCTGGTTTAGTCCTGGTTTAGTCCTGGTTTAGTCCTGGTTCAGTCCTGGTTCAGTCCTGGTGTAAAATAACCCAGTACAATGATGTTGTTGGTATTAAAACCTGAAAAGAGGCTGAATGGGAGTTTTGTCGTTCTACAGTCTGTTCAGTTTGTAGAGATTCATGTAGAAAACCCCCAGACTGATGTCACTGCAAAGTATCAACACGAACTCATGGGATTAGAATCAGCCTGAAGGAAGTTAATGTCACTCAGTATAAAATAGTGTGTGTGTGTGTGTGTGTGTGTGTGTTTGGTTGTGTTTTTTTTGTTTTTGTTTGTGTGTTTATTTGATTTATTGTTTGTTTGTGTTTATTTATTTGTGTGTGTGTTTGTTTGTGCGTTTGGTTTTATTTGTTTGCATGTTTATGTGTTTGTTTCAGTGTTTGTTTGTTCGTTTGTGTGTTTATTTGATTGTTTTTGTGTTTGTGTTTGTGTTGCCCCTTTCAGACTTCGTGTACATAAAGAATCACATGTTTCCTGTGCTCCTCAGGCTCTCATGTCTCTGTTCGTTTTGGCGTCTAAAGACGGTTGGGTGAACATCATGTACCACGGCCTGGACGCGGTGGGCATCGACCAACAGGTAACACACACACACACACACACACACACACACACACAAACACACAAACACACACAAACACACACACACACAAAATGTCATATATCACACAAAATGGACTCTTGAGAGATTTAAAGGTTGTATAGAGGATTTTTTTAAGGAAAGAGAAATCCAGCGACAGTCCTTTTTCAAATGCAGTGCATGTGTGACACCACCTTCCTCCTCCACATTTCCCTCTAGACATAATTTAGAGACCGACACCATCGCTGGAAGGAATCTCCAAGAATCACCTCAGTTTGTCTTCGCTCCTTTTCTCCTTCTCTTCTTCTTTTCGTTCTTTTGCGGCGAACTGGTCGTGGATTCTCGTCCGCCGTCGCAACAAACTTTATGCGAACTGCGAGAGCCACAATTAGAAAAAGCCTCTAAGAACGGCTGCATAGTTACCTTAGAAATGTAGGGAGTTTGATTGACAACCTGACAGCCAATAGAAAATGAGGCAGCCTCGTTTTCTATTGGCTGATGTTTATCTGGCCTCAACACGTCCACAGTTGATAGATTTTCTTTCTTTTTTTTTTTTTTTTTTGGTCATCATAATTACAAGGCTGCTGCGTCTCTGTAATGGTGTTTTAAACTTTCATTGACAATTTGAAACAAACAAAAAATCCTCCATACAACCTTTAAGTCATGTTTTAATGTTGTTCCCTCCTCAAAAACAGACCTGGACTTGTGTTTTGTCTCATTCACATGTTTGAGTAACTCTTTATTATTAGTCTGTTTACATCTCCAAAGCTCAAAATGCTCTGTTCCACCTTGTGATGTCATACAGTGGTAGTTTTCAAGTGAACAGCTCCTTTTTGCCTTTAGTTCAGGTGGATTGTTTGGATTATTTCAGATCTGGAACTGCCCATTTCAACAAAACAAAAGCTAAAAGGAGATGTTCACTTGAAACCAGAGGTGGGACCAAGCCGTCGTTTCTCAAGTCTTTGACCTCAAGTCCGAGTCGAGTCCCAAGTCAAATACAGTCAAGTCCAAGTCAAGTCCAAGTCGTCTGCTTTGAGCTTCAAGTCATTTCCGATAAATAAAATAGAAAATAAATGAAGAAAACTAAAAAATAAATACAAAATAAATAAAAATAAAAAATAAAACAAACCAAAAAATGAATGCAAAAAATAAATAAATAAATATAAAAAACAAAACAAATAAAAGAAAAAATAAAACAAAAAAAAAAAAAAAAAAAAAAAAAAATTGACATGATATGACATAAGAAAAGAAAAGTCTCAGAGGACCACACAACTTTTTTTTTTATCAATACCTTCTCAAATGAGTATCTAGTTTCGTTCTAGTTTTAGCATCGATTAGTGTCTGAATTCCGAGACTTTTGACAACCCCAGTCCCTAAATTCCTACTTCATTCCTGTGCAGAAAAAGAGAAGATACAGAAAAAGCTGAAGTTGGCTTCTATCTTCATTACAATTCCTTCGTATTAATTTATAAACCATCGTGTTTTCCTCAATCTCTTGGAAGCTGTGAACATGACATCATGAGGTGGAACAGAGCATTTTGAGCTTTAGAGATGTAGACAGACTAATAAACCGGGGTTACTCAATCTTGTGAACAGTGTTGGGGAGTAACAGATTACATGTACCGGATTTATGTAATCAGAGTACAAATGATGAGTAACTGTATTCAGTTACAGTTACTGTTTCAGTGAGTGGTAATTGGATTACAGTTACTTTGTTGAAATAAATTGATTACACAGAAGGATTTTACTGTTTTCACATTTTGGGCTATATTTTGGGAATAAACCAGGACAAAACCAGGAATAAACCAGGACTAAAACCAGTTTTAAAACTAGGTCTAAACTAGACCTAAACCAAGTCTAAACCAGGACTAAATCAGGACTAAAACCAGGACTAAATCAGGTCTAAACCAGGAATAAACCAGGACTAAATCAGGACTAAAACCAGATTTAAACTAGGTCTAAACTAGACCTAAACCAAGTCTAAACCAGGACTAAATCAGGACTAAACCAGGAATAAACCAGGACTAAAACCAGATTTAAACTAGGTCTAAACTAGACCTAAACCAAGTCTAAACCAGGACTAAATCAGGACTAAAACCAGGACTAAAACAGGACTAAATCAGGACTAAACCAGGTCTAAACTACGTCTAAACTAGACCTAAACTAGACCTAAACCAGGACTAAATCAGGACTAAAAACAGGACTAAATCAGGACTAAACCAGGTCTAAACTACGTCTAAACTAGACCTAAACTAGACCTAAACCAGGACTAAATCAGGACTAAAACAGGATTTAACAGAACTAAGTCATGCCGTGCGGACCGTGTTTCCTCGTCTTCTATCAATAATATTTTTAATTTGGTTCAGTAAAGTCTGGGCTTTTTATTTTCTTTTATCAAACAAAACTTCTTATGTGAAGATTTCCTCGTCTTTGCTTCTCTACAGCAAATCAAGTAATCCAAAGTAATCAGATTACGTTACTCACTGTAAGTAATTTAATGGATTACGTTACAAACTAACTTTTGGTGTGTGTAATCTGTAATCTGTAGGGGATTACATTTTAAAAGTCACCTTCCCAACACTGCTTGTGAATGAAACAAAACACATCTCCAGGTTTGTTTTTGAGGAGGTAACAAGATTAGAACACGACTTAAAGCTCAAAAGAGTCAATTTCACCCACTGTAGGACCTTTAAAAAGCTCTATATATGATCTTTCTAACCTGTGCCCTCTGCAGCCGGTGACCAACCAAAACCCGTGGATGCTGCTGTACTTCATCTCGTTCCTCCTCATCGTCAGCTTCTTCGTGCTGAACATGTTCGTGGGAGTGGTGGTGGAGAACTTCCACAAGTGCAGACAGCATCAGGAGGTGGAGGAGGCGCGGAGGAGAGAGGAGAAGAGGCAGAAGAGGCTCGAGAAGAAGAGACGCAGTAAGAAAACATACGACACGTGATTTATTTTTACGTTGGACTAGTTTGGATCGTCTTTATTCTCCGGTATTCAAGGCTTTCCTTCCCCAGTTTGATACTCGTAGAATTGAGCGTCGTTGCGTCGTCATTTTGGTCCAAATGTTAAAAAAAAACCTCTCTGCTCTAGTGTGATGTGCAGTTATCCACAGCAGGGACCCACAGCCTGCGGCGCTTTGTTGTCCCGACGTTTACGGCCACTCCAGCTCCCACTGGACTCCACATTTAATTTGTAACTTAATAAGACAGAATCTGGTCCAACCCAAAGGACAAAACACCGAGCCACAAACAAAGCTATGTGGTCTACTCCATTCAGTGCAGTGAAGACTGCAGTGAGAAACGGAAACAGACACTTCACAAGAGGATGGACCAACACAGACGAGAGAGCAACACAGGACCTCAGTCTGATGTCCATCTCCACTTAAAAACCACGGGACACTTGTTTGAGGACAGTGAGGTACAGATTTGAACCAGAGAAAAGAATTGGTTTGAGAGGGGAGTGAAAGAAGACATTTTTGTTAAGAAAGAGAATCCTTCTTTAAACAGAAATGGACTCAGACACCATCTACCTCCTATTTACAACTCCATCCTCAAACCTAAATCAAAACAAGAGAACAACAGGTGTAGTCAGGTCAGGTCCAGAGGTGTGAAAGCTCTATTATGCCCTTGAATTTTTCTGCTAATTAGACCCCACACCCTGTACAAGTCAACAGGCCGAACTAACATACAGAAACTGTAAACAAGCGTGCGTGTTAGTTTCAGAGTACCGTATTTTCCGGGCTATTAGACGAGCTGTTAAACCTCCAACCCCATCAAAAAACGACCGTGCGCCACAATCCAGAGCGCCCCATACACGAATCCACTTGGGTGTCCAGGAACGACTTAGTAAACACACACGGAGCAGACAGCGACCGCACCGCGAAACACACCCACAGACACACTCATCACTTCACACCGACGAGGAAGAGAACGGAGGAACGAACCGAAAAAGCGACGAGCGCGACGTGCCGCTTCTAGACACGACTGAACAACTGAGTCACTGCGAACACGCCGACAATCCAGTGGTCGACAGACACTACCCTCCCTACACGCCACAACTGAACAAACCCAGAGTCACCGTGAACGAACAAACAAACAAAACCACTCACCCATCACACTGTTGGGTTTCATTTAAAGTCCCACGAGGTTTATTTGTGAAAAAAAGTTCAAAAATAGACAATTAGACTTATAATCCAGAGCGACTAATAGTGCAGAAAATACGGTAGTTATTTAGCTCCTCCCTGCAGATAAAAGGAAGTGTCACCAGCGTCTGACCATCAATCAATCAATCAAACTTTATTTATAAAGCACTTTTCATACAAAAATGTAACACAAAGTGCTTTACACAGATTAAAAACAATCCCACATTTCCACCCACCACCCACTAACCCAACCCCCACAGCTGCCCGACTCGACACAACCAAACATCACAGACACCCAAACCACCAAACCCCCCCCCCACACACACACACACACACACATTAACCTGCTAAAATACATAAAACGACACATAGTAAAATGTGAGGCTGAATACAGGCGAACCAGTTGAGAAAGCATCATCAGAGGAGCCGTCTACACCAGGAGCAGAGAGACGTCCACCACCACCAGGAACCACCACAGGAGCCAAGGGAGAGATGAAGCCCAAGCTCCAACTCTCCACCAGGAGCCCACGGGACAGAACCCGGCAGCCACAGCCGACCTCCGCTCCCGATGCAGAGGCTCCTACAGAGGAAACACTGCATATCCTAAAAATAAGTCTAAAATAAATAAATATAAATTAAAATGTGTATAGTAGAAACAAGTAAAAAATATGATATTTCATTCAAAAGCTAAGCTAAAAAGGTGGGTCTTGAGCCTACTCTTAAAAACATGAACGTTCTCTTTGGCCCTGAGCTCCTCCGGCTGCAGTTCCATAGACGAGGGCCACAGTACTGAAAAGACGCCTCCTCTCCGTGAGGCGTGTCTTGACTTTGGGAATGACCAGGAGCTGCTGCTGGAGGAGCGCAGGGTCCGCGAGGGTTCGTAAGGTAAAAGCAGTTCTGAAAGATAAGAAGGCCCAAGACCATTAAGACATTTAAAAACCAGTAAAAGAACTTTAAAATCGATCCTGAAACTCACAGGAGCCAATGCAGTGATTTTAAAACCGGTGTAATGTGGTCCCGCCCTCTGGTCCTCGTCAGGACACGCGCTGCTGAATTTTGTAGTAATTGTAAACCTGAAATACTCTTTTTGGGAAGACCAGAGAGCAGGACATTACAGTCTATTCGACTGGTGATAAAAAAGCACCAGAAAAGACCAGAACTAAAGAAGCAGCTTGGATGAGCCGCAAAACGTCTTCAACCAAACAAACTTTTGTCCAGTCCACAAACTGTATTTTTCTCCTCGCCACGTGACTTAATAAGTAATTTACATAAACTTGCAGATCTTTGGGAAAAAAACGATATTTGTTATGTGAAGTAACTTGAAACATCTTCCCTTTGGAGGGTTCGCAACCTGCTTGTTTACATAGAGTTATTATTGCTTTGTTAGAATGTTCCACAGTATGGCATTAAACTTACATAGTGATAGAGAAGTGTAGTTGGCGCCACAGGTCGAGTTATCAGTCGTATTTGTGGAGAGGTGACACGGCGCACAATAAGAACGCATTTTTTTTAAAGTAATACTGAGTAATTAAGTAAAAAACAACAACAACAACAAAAGCTATATACTCTAGATCAGGGCTGCTCAGACCTTTTCAGTATGTGAGCTACTTTTAAAATGATCGTGTCTGAAAGATCGACCACCTAATACAAAAATGTTAAACATATATTTATTTGTAAATTATGAATTCTTACATGTGCAACACATTTTGAGGTATCTTGCATAACGTCATGAGATAAAACTGCACAACACAATTCAACTTTTTACATGTTCGTAATTACTTGAATCAGGGGTGCATACGCTTTTTCAGCATGCGAGCTACTTATAAAATGTCCAAGTCAAAAATGATCGACCGACTACAAAGTCAAGTAAACTGCACTGGACTTCAGAGAACTTTCAATAGCACTTTACAGAAAACTGAAAAAAGTGAAGACAGTGATTAGGATTTTTAAACCTGTTTTTTCAAGTTCCTAACTGGAGTTACATGGTTCGTACGAGTTTTACCGTGGGATTCAGCCTCTGCACATTTACCAAACCAAACCCAGATGTATTTGTGCACGTTTATTAGGCAAACTTTAGCCACATGTCGCGGTAGATCGGCTCTGTGCTGTTGGCTCCTCTGTGCCAACACTCTAACGTAAATTTTGATCAGTTTTTGCTTCGCGTTTTGTCTTGTCCTTCTAATCTGCGCATTGTGGCAGGAGCCTGTGCGCTTTACGCGGGAAGGAGCGAGAGCGTGAAAAGGCGAGGGGCGGCGTGCTGACGTGAGGCAGGTGGACAGGTAGGATGTTTAGGAAGTTGAACCTGCCCTGTGATGCACGCTGGTACACGAGGGCACACGCTGTCGCAGACGAGCCGTGCATAGGGAGCGTGTGTGTTTGTGATGCGCCGTAGAGTCTCCGCGGGTTTCAAATGAGCGCACAGGCTGCACTGAGACGCCCCACACGCTCCTGCACCCGCTACAAGTTTATTACCAACAGCAGCGGCCGGAATGAAACATGATCACACTTGTTGAGTGTCAGACCTCGAGTGAGAGACAAGACCGAGTCCAAACACGAGTCCGAGACGAGACACGACGATCTACCCACACGACCTTGGCCATCGACTGGTAGATCGAGATCGACGTATTGAGCACCTCTGGTCTAGGGGGTGTGCGAAAATACTGAAATATCGATATATAGTATTGTTTAATGTGATGATACAGTATCGATATCATGGGCTGCTGTATCGATATATCACCAAGAGTATTTTTTGGTTTATTTTACTCATTTATGCGACACATTTGACATTTTCACTGTTTTGATGATGTAAAATGTTTGTGTTTCATATGAACTTTGCACAAGAAGAAGTGGTTTAACAAAGACTTTTAGAATCGCAGACATGATTTAGACTTTATTTTTATTGAACCACATCAAATCGATTTGAAATATATCGTATTGAACCAAAAGTGCACTCTATTCTGATATGTATCGTATCGGCAGTTTCTTAATGATACTCAGCCCTAGTATACATGCTTAATGACAAACTGTGGAACATTCCAGACGAAGCAATAACACGTCCATGCAGACAGGCAGGTGGCTTCTCCTCCGGCAATATTGTTACACGGGGCAACTTTAATCAACGATCAATATAATGTGAAGTGAGGTTAAGTAGTTTGAAACGGGTTGAGATGAAGAGTAATTTCCAGCTCGTCTTCACACAGTCTCATATTAAAGTGTGATCAGGAGCTGGAGCAGAGCCAGTGGAGCAGAGCCAAGGGGAGTCGTCTGAATCCACGTCGTCTCTGTCTGCTGCTGCTGCGCGAGGGACTCGACTCTGCCCGTTCATTCTGATCATTAAAGCTTTAGTTATTCACAGACGCATTAGTCGACATCCAGCCCCGTAATTAAACCGGCAATTTATTAAAAAGACCTTATTGTACGAACTCTTTTTTTATATTTAGCTTTCTCCCTTGTTATCACGCTGTTCCCTCATCAAAAACACGCCTGGAGAGGTTTTAGAGTCATCCAGGCGTGTTTGAGTCATCCAGCTCCCATTCACACTAGTTTATATTCGAGTCGTGTTCGTTGTGGGTGCAGTGTTCGTTTACACTAATCTGATGGAAAACGGCTCCAGAGACGGAACGATCTGGTGCCTCCAGCTTCCACCAATTCATGTTCGTACAGATCTGATCCTGCACCGTGTGGACGCCTGAAAACTCTGATACTCTGACGTAGGAGCTCGAGTCTCGTTCTTATTGGACACGTCACTGTGACTCGCTCCTTCCTGATTCTCTGGGTTCGTGA